TGTATAATCATGCTAAACACTCAATACAACACACACAAAAGCCTAAAACATTCCCTACCTCAATTTGAGATGAAAATCTCAAAAGCCACCAAATGGAAACCGCTCCGAATCCGATGAAACTACTAGGTTTTTTCGGGGACAACGCCGTGAACATAACCCCCGTGAAAGCCCCATCAAAATCACAACTTGAACTCAAAACCAAACTCAAGAAATGGTCAAAACAGAATTCTAATAAGGGGGAAAGGTAGAGCACGGCGAGGGGAACAACAAACGTTAAGGCCGAAGACTTTCCATCAAGGAAAAGTGAACCAAAAGAGGAGAGAGAAGATGGCAGCACCCCTTGGGCTGCCATGGGAGCTCCAGGTCGTTCATGAAGAGGGGAGAAGATGAAAAATGAAATATCCCACCCCCCTTTTATAGAAATTTCAAAAAGTGCCCCAAACGGGCCCGCCGGGTCCGGAAAAGTAAAATTTGAGCAGACGCACTCAAATGGCAAAACTTTGTGAACAAAAAAGATTTCAAATGATAAAATATGAACAACAGAAGAAACGGAGTCCAAAACCGAGTCCCGAGCAGAAAGTTATGCCCAAAACAAGTTTGGCGCAAACCGGGGCCAGAAACCCTAAAACTGGAAGACATCAACCAGGAGGAAATTCCAAGAGTACACAACTCGATGAAATGTGAAAATGAATCCCGTATGAGGATCCAGGCTCAAAATAAGACATTTTGCAATAACTTTCATTAATTGCACAATGGCCCCTCCAAAAAGTGAAAACTGCACTTATGGCCCAGAATGAAAATTTCTTCCAAAAATATTTTCTTAAAAACCCCTGAAATAAAATATCTTCAAAATTTATTTACAAAAAACACCCCAACAAAAGAAAATAATTTCAAAGAACTTTGCATCCATGCCCCTATGGACACCAGGAGCAATCAGAGTACTTTCTTGCAAAAGTAAAGATACGTATTTCGTGGAAACCACTTAAGATGGAGATACATGAAGTCAAAAACCAAATCCGAACACAAGAAGTTTGGTTACGCCAACAAAGTGTCAAACAGGGAAAAGACAAAATGGAGAAAAGGACAAAATAGGGAAAATGACGAAAAGTGAATAGTGTCGAAAAACGAAAAATGCGGAAACGACTCAGTCCTTAAAGGAAGTTGTCAATCCACATAAAAGAGTCTCAGAAATCACTCCAGAGCACTCGAGACGACACTAAGCGAAGAGGAACTGAACTCAGAAAGGAAAGACAATGGAAAAAAAATATTCATGAAAATTCGGGTCATTACAACAATGACATTATAATGACAAGTCCATAATGTGAATAAAACTACACAAGCATAATGAGGTCAATTCAAGTAATCAATTCATGATATTAAAGTAAGTCTTAAGCACTTAATTAAACTACAATACACATCATACAAGCTTTCCATAAGTTAATTGGCAAGAATGATACAAGAACACCACAATTACATCTTAATGGAATTATTAGTAATATACTCGATCCTCTACCAAATGAATACAACAACTATACAAGAATTAAATCATACACATGCTTTAATTAATTTAAATGGCAATAAGGAAACAAGTATACAACAACTACAATTCAATGAATTTAATGGTAGTATAACCTTTTACCAATTTAAATACTAAGCTTAACAAGATGCTAATTATATACATGTTTTAAGTAGTAAACAAGTCTAAGTCAAGTATGTATATAACCACTAGTAAATTATCCTTTACCAAATGTAATCACAAGCTTTACAAGAGATAAATCATACACATGCCTTGAGTAATATGAAAACTTAAGTCAGATACATACAACCTTCATTTATATGCAATCCTACAATTAATTTAACATGTAAACAATATATATTAACTTCAAAACACAATAAAACACTAAGGATATAAACATAAAACACCCCCTACCTCACTAGAGAAAAGAATCTCTAGAATCCCAAGGAAATGTGAGCAAAATGAAATCCAAGAAAAAGGTGTTGTAGAGGAAGGTGAAGGGAAACTTTTGTCTTCCAAAAGCTAGGCCAAAAAGTGTGAGGAAGATGGTTAATTTCAAGGTATAGGGTTAGGGTTTAAAGGCATCAATGGTGGCTTAGTGAGAAAGAATGAGGAAGATAGTGAAATCTCTAGTTTTTCCACTAACTAAATGACATATAAAACACTTTAACAATGCTAGCACAACCTCTCACACATACACTTCAATCTCCACCCTCCACTTGTCACAATCCAGTGCACCCTCACAAGATTTAAAATCCATCCTACACTTGTCACAATCCAAGCCTTCCAAGTGTTTCCAACCAAAAGTAAACAAATGGTCCAAGGGAAAGGTGACACTTGTCACAATTTTTAAAAATTACAAAAATGTCCTTTTTTTAAATATCTCACAAAATAATTACAAAAAGGTCCTAAACCAAAATATCTCAAAAAGATAATCGCACAAAGGCCTCCCAAAAATGAAAATGTTTTCGAAGAAAAAAAATGCAATCATACCCCTCAAAAATGAAAATAAACTAGCATGCTTTGCTACACAATTAAACTAGGCATTAACAATAAAATAAATCAAAGTGAATGCATGTGTTTTCGAAAAATAATTTTGGACACAAAACCCTAAGGCAACAAGAAAGGAAATAAATAATTAAATAAAATTAAAAAAAAAATGCCCAAAAAAAGGAAAAAAGATGACACAGTCATCACATAGAAACATCAAATTTTGCAAATAAATTAGGAAATAATTTCTTCAGGTAATCAAAGGAAGCATGCCCCAGATGTCGATGCCATAACTAGATGTCAAATTTCTTCTTTTGTCCCTTAGAGCCAGCCACAATTAAAACTTGATGTAACTTGTCTGAAATTTTTGACACCAAGTCCAAGTAATACAACTTCCCTCGCCTAACACCACAACCAATTGTCTACCTTGTTCGGATGTCCTTAAACACACAAAATTCAGGCTAAAAAATTACAACACAAAATAAGGCATTAGTTATTTGAGAAACTGACAAAAGATTATAATCCAAAGATGGAACAACTAAAACATAATCTAAATTCAAGGTGTTACTGAGGGACAAGGATCCTTCCCCAATAATCGGAACTGAGGAACCATTGGCAGTGGAAACAAATTTTTGTGAGGGAGGTTTAAGGGGTGAGACCTGTCTAAAATCAAATGTCATATGATCCGTAGTACCAAAATCAATTATCCATGCACTATTAGAAACAGGTGTAGACATATTTAAAACCTTACCACCATTACCTACCGCCGCTACCAATGCTGAGACCTTTCCAGCAACATCATCCTCTGTCTTTGTTTCAACAACCGCAGTAGTGGAGGTTTTCTTGGAATTCCTTTTCCATGGATCACGACTATGATCCCACCATTCTGGATACCCCATAAGTTCAAAGTAGTGATTTTTGGTATGACCAATTTAATCGCAGTGAGTACATTGGTAGGAAGATTTGTCAGCACCATTAATGGTCTTAGGATGGCTAGACCTTATTCGGTCATGCTGGTTTTGAGGAGGTCAGTTCTGATTAGACCGGTTTCGAGTCACCATGGCTGAAGATTCAGAATTTTCAGGATCTCCATTCATCTTTGCTCGTTGAACAAATTCACGGCGGACCAGTGCATAACATTTTTCTAATTCGGGAATAAGATCCTTTCTCAAAATTTCACCATGGATTTGTTTGAATTCACCATCTAATCCAACAAGAAAAGTATACACCTTTTGTCACTAAATTGATTTTCAGTAAGATGAAATGTTTGTTTCACTCTCCATGATCACCTTATCATAATGATCCAACTCACTAAAAATTTCAATTAATTCTCCATAATGCACAGACAGTGTTTTGCCAATCTGTTTGGTAGAGAAAGCCTTCTGATTCAAGGTAAAAACGTGTAATTTTTCTGCTCCATCGTAAAAAGCTTTAGAAAGAGCTTTCCAAATATCTTGAGCGGTGGGTAGGCGAATGTATCGCTTCATAATTTCTGGGGACATAGACATTAACAACCATCTATTGACCTTTTGATTGTCTGCGTACCACTTCTCATATCCATCATCCTTCTCGGTAGGTGGCTGTGAGTTACCACGAATAAAGGAGAGTTTCTCCTTCTCAGCAATATGCATCTCTATGATTTGAGACCACATATCATAATTTGTCTCATAGAGTACAATCCCTGCATTGAACGATGAACCTTCAGATTGAATAATAATAAGAGCAAATTTGGTGACAACTACTTCAGAATTTGATTTGGTCATGGTTTGAAGGCGACGTGAGTTCAATGAAAGGATGGTGATGATTCATGTAACTTATTGCTTTGATACCAACTTGAAAATCAGGCTTTTAGAAAAATATTTTCTTATTCACGATTCAATAATCTGTATAGGTACATATATAACAAACAGATTTAATAAGTTTTTCGAATTTCTCGGATAATACTAAATTTTAATAACTTACTAACAAATAAACATTAAAAAATATATATATATTAAGTTCACTTTTCTAAAATGTCCAAAGGTGTGACAAAAATCAAGCAAACTATGTGTAATAAGATCTTATAACAATAATATGATATCATCTAATGAATCCATTGATGACATTATAAATATTCTAATTTTAAATATAAAATTTATAAACTACGCTTATATTTCGAGTTCTTTGAGGTTTTTTTGGGTTCCTCCGGTGGCTAAAATCTGTCCAATCCCGTTCAAAATAAATTCAGTTAAATGATAAGATCAAAAGAGTCCTCGTTACAAAGCAACGTCGTCGTTTCCCTTTCTTGGGCACCACTCATCTCACACATTCCTACAGAGCCTCAGTTGTACTATCACCCAGCTGGCTCGCTTTTCTCTGCAGACGCGGTGCATAATACTACTCGTAGTATAAACCAGAAGATCCTTTCATTTCACTGGTCCATCTCTCTCTTTTCCTTTCTTCTCTCACTCTCTAAAAACCCTAGCTGAAGAAAGCATTCTCCTCTGTTTCAACAATGTCCGACTACTTCCCCACAGAAGTGTTGACCGAAATACTCTCAAGACTTCCGGCCAGATCTCTACTCAGATTCAGGTGCGTTTCTAAGTCTTGGCTCTCTCTCATCACCAGCCCTGATTTCATCAGTCTCCACCTCAATCAATCCCACCACCACAACAACAACCCTCACCTCCTCATCAAATACTATTCTCTGGACCACAAAAAGGAGCGCTATTCGCTCCGATTCGACGACGAAACACTGACCGAGTCCTCCGAACTCAAATGCCCATTCAAGACTCGCAGAAATAGCTTCTTCCGCATAGTGGGTATTTGCAATGGGTTGATTTGCCTCTCCGACGACCAGTTTGGTTACACCTATACTGTAATCGTCTGGAACCCTGCGATTCAGAAGTGTGTGAACCTTCCCAAGCCTCGCATTTGTTTCGACACCTATGGACCATACATGTTCGCTCTTGGGTTCGGCTTTGATTCTCGGACCAACGATTTCAAGGTTGTGAGAATCGCTTACCTTCGCTATAAAATTGGTTCGTGGGTCGCCGGTGACGGGATCGAAGCCTCGTTGTTTGGAGGGGAAGATGACTACATTGTTCCTCCTGAGGTGGAGGTCTTCGCGCTCAAAACTGGGTCCTGGAAAACAATTGACACCAGTCACACCAAGGTGCCTCCATATAACATGGTTGAGTATTTCTGGTCTGCCCCTTTTGTCAATGGGTCTATACATTGGCTTATGTATAGTAAATTGAAGGAGGATTTGGACCTGAGTTTTCGTTGCACGATTATTGGGTTTGATGTGGGTGGTGAGGTTTTCTGTGAGCTGAACCTGCCCGAGAAATTGGCTGATGAGAATCCACTGAACTTGACCATTGCAGTGTATGAGGACACACTTTCGGCGTTCCAGTATGGTGATCGGGCGAAGATTAAGCGTTGTTCGGTGTGGGTGATGAAACAGTATGGTGTGGTGGAGTCCTGGAGCAAGTATTTTAATGTTGATTTGCAAGTAGGAACCTTAGGGGCTGCACTTGGGTTTAGGAGGAATGGTGAGCTACTGCTTGCTAGGAGGAATGGCCAGCTGATTTCGTATTACTCTGATAACAGAGAAGCTAAGTGTGTTGGAATTTCTGGCGGTAGAGACTCGATTTATGTGGGTACCTATGCTGAGAGCCTCGCATTGCTTGATGGAGTGAATGCCATCTCCGGTGCTAAGGTAGATTCTTGTGATATGGTTAATTCCGAGGAAGAACCTGTTCCTAATGGACCAGGTAAAAATGAACTAAAAGAAAACGCATACAAGCATTTGATTTTTTCCACGGTTTCTCTATAACTAATGTGTCTTCTTATTAATATGCATTGTGTTGACTCAAGGCTACTTACTCATGAAAGTCGAGTGTAACAATTGCATTACTTCACATCTTTTGAATGATGATCTTTTTGGCAATTGGAAAGTTGTTAGGATTATCTTCGTATTTGTTTTGGTTAGTTATCTGTGCCTGAACAATGTTACAATATATACTTCCTTATCAGATTGGTGCTCATATTGTCAACTTTTGATATTGTTCATTAACTTAATTATCATATATTGGAATGTTGCCTCGCATTGTCACATTTGATTCGTATACTGCTTTTAAATTACAGTTTACTATCTTCAATGTTTATCACGTATGAAGATCTTTTTTATGGAAGTAGATATGTTGAGTTGGTTTGGTAAACTTGGTGACTCCAAGCTGTCTATTGAACAATCCATGACCATGATTTTGAATATAAAATAATTGCTGGTGTCATAACGATTTGTTATGTTCTGATTTATCAAATAATTTCTGCTCTCCTAAGGTTGGGCTTTGTGCTGGAAGGTCCCCGTAACATTCTCAGGTGTTGTGTTGGAAGAAGGTCAATCATGACCACTTTTACTGAAGGATTGAAATTGGAATTTGGTACCTGATAACAAAGAATGATTCAATATAGTCAGAACAGAGTGTGGACAATAAATTTGACGCATTTGCTATTTAACTTCATTTATTGTTGATATTCGTTCTTGTTGACAGTATTAGGCTGCACATGGATATTCAAATTCACCTTTGCGTTGAATTCTCTCTCTGAGTGGTAATCACTTGTATTTTTGGGTCATATATAGCTACAACAATTGTTTTATGGTATTGAGCAATGATGCAATGTTGTGACATCAATAATGTTAACCTTCATGTTTTACACCATCTAAACTTTAAAGTGCACTGCGAAGGGTGGAGTCCAACTAAAAGGTGTCGAAATCTTGTTACATGCATGCTTGTCCAAGCTTACTATTTTCTCTGTGATCATTCTGTTAGTAAAATATATACTTCATGTGACATTTAAGATATAACAAACCTTATACTAATATGTCATGAGATAATTAATAATATGCTAAGAAATCATTAATTAAATATGCAACTCTATATTTAATTAAATATGCAAAATAAATTAATGAAATAATAATTATAAATAAAGAACCTGGACCGAGGCTAATATTGGATACTATGTCCTTAAGACAGATTCGCCCCGCTATGGTGCTAACGGACTCAGTGCAGTCTATCTCCCAGGATATAACGGTCTACATCCACCAGTAGCAGCACTACAAACTCGTGGATACGGCGAACCTTCTCCGTGTAATACTCTTTCTGACTCAAAAATGCATCTATGCTATATAAATGCTGAATTGGGTGAAATTCGAATCAAATGGTTCGGACCAATCTTAATATGGCTCGATGAAATTGGATTAGGGTCTAAGTGGTTCGGACCACTTAACCTATGGTTTGAACCCACTTGGGTTGGGTTCAAGTCTAGAGAGGGAGATAGAAGAAAATGAAAATGAACGAATTGCAAATGATCCAAAGGGGGGTATTTATAGAAACAGATATACCTTTTCGAATTGGGTGTATCTCTTCATTATTGGACACAACCATTGCAATAGGTTGCAATGGTTCACATGGTGTCTGTTCACCACTAGACACATCTATTCCAATAGTTTGCAATGGTTCACATGGTGTCTTTTCGAGTGGGTGCAACCATGGGTTATGATGGTTCGGAAAAAGGTGTAACCCTTTGAAAAAAAAAACTAAAAAGTGATTTTTTAATTTAAAAGGTGTAACCCTTTAGAAAAACTAAAATATGGTTTTTTAATTTAAAAGGTGTAACCTTTTAGAAAAACTAAAAAATAGTTTTTTTAATTCAAAAAGCCAACCACCCAAAAAACCGACTCATTTGTGAAACCCATTTAAATAAGCCCAGCCCAAAATTAGGCCCAATCCAAAATTCCAAAAAAGAATAATCTGGACTTTACAATTAGGCCCAAGCCCAAGCCCAAATCATAAACTCAGCTTATTTAAATTTCAATTTGTTTCAACATTTTTTCCATGTGGGACAAACACTTCCCACATTTTGCATACCCATTTAGGCTTATCAAAACACCACACTTTGGAGCTAATTTCTCATTCATCCGGAAACGGATTTTAGAAAGTAAATATACCACATTCATCTCCTTACGGAGAGAAACGCGCTTGTCTAGAAATCTGTAAAAAATTATTAACAGAATCTATTTCAAATCTCATCCAAAGTTTATGTTTTTAATGCCCCCGTTTCCAACACATTCTGTTGCACTAAGCGGCTTTTGAAGCCAATTGGAGATTCATGATGCTTATATACTGCCTTAGAAAATATTTGAGTGAGCAGAGCTTACCCGCCTACCCTGATATTGTAAGTAATCTCATATGGTTCCATAACTTGGATGTTGTGCCTCAAGGTTGTGGTTGGGTTAAAAATCAACAATGGGGGTGAAAGGAAAAGACACACTATGGTTGAAAAAGATGTATTTTGTTAAACCTTTTGTGGTTTAGCCATCCTTTATCGTGTAAGATTATACATTGCATATGGTAAACAATTTTTAATGGGAAGGTGTGTTTAACTTGTTTTGTAGCTTAACACTTCTGAAGCCTCCATTTGCTGCTGTATTTACTTATTTTTCATGGAATCATGTTACTTACCAAAAAAAAATTCCTTGGAATCATGTCACTTTTGATTTCATTTTATTTTGTATGCTATATCTTTATGATGTGTTTTCTTTTTCTTTTTTGATAATAAATTATTACATACCTACAGGTCCAAACACATTATTTTGATCGTTATAATGCAGTAAACTCTTTGAAACTGATTGGAGATTCATATTGTTTGTAATAGGTTTAGCAAATATTTGAGAAAGCAGAGCTTATTGCTTACGCTCTAACTATCACACCTGCCCTAATTACTTGGGGGTTGTTTGGACATCTAATGGATTTCGAATTGGTTCATTGTTTGATATTGAAGTTGAGTGCACAAGTTGGTAGTTTCACAGTTAGACATTGAATCACCTGGATAAGATGAAATGCAAAATTTGCCGAAATCCTGATATCAGCAAGTTTGAAGTAAAACTGATCCTTTTTAGATGATTAAAAACATCATGTACTCATTTTTGACCAGTGTAGAACACCTTGGGCTTGTTCCACTTTCAAGTTGGAAATTAATCTTACAGTTAGTTTGCTTTCTCAATTTGATGTTACTTCCTTTTTTATTGTTGGGCTGTACTACTGTAATTTATTCGGACAGAAGCTCTGGGAAATATTCTTAGCAAGGCTAGAATTAAAGACATATCATTCATTAGGTGAAGGCAAAACCAAACATACTACATCGTGCTGGTTTATTGCAGTTCCTTTAGGTGGTTAGTATCATTAAATTGTATGGGTCATCTGTTCAATTTTCGCCAGCTGAGGTAACATAAATCTTTTTCTATTTTTCATACTTTCTCTAGCAGCCTATGACTGTTTCTGAAGAATTTGTGAGTTATACCGTGACAACAGGGGAGGTGGTATCAATTTGGATAGTTTAGCATCTGAAAGAAGTATAAGAAGCCCAAAGGTATATGGATTATGGATTATGTTTCCGTGGTTGTGGATAATTGTTTCTCCACTTCATTACATACTTCTTGTTTGAATCATTTTTTATGGATTTAACTTAGCTGAGATGAATTTCAGATGTTCTCTTGCACTACTATTTCTTGAAATGAAGAAATATGGTTAGGGGCAAATTCAGTACGTGAGCTTCTTGACAAGGTTTTATTTATTTATTTATTTTTTTTTTTTTTTTTTTTTTTTTTTTTTAAGTATGAATTTTGAGTTACTTAATTGGAGTTCCTTTATATGTGAAGTTGGGATCAGTGTATCTTGTATGCCATTTTTGGTTTGTGTTCTATAGTTTTATGATTTTGTTTTTCCTTTTTCGTAAATAATATGTTACATTCTTACATGTGCAAGCACACTTTTTCTGTGTGATCATTCTGTTGCTCTTAAGATTTTGAAGCTTATTGAAAATTCATGATATGGCGGGTAATGGAAAGGAATAGAGACAGAGAAGTCATGTGGCCGACCCCATGCATATGGGAATAAGGCGAGAATATTATGATACTGATTATGCATTGCTTTAGAAAATATTTGAGTGCATAGAGCTTACCGTGTAACTTTATTGTACATGATCTCATATGGTTGGATTCTTGGATGTTGTGCCTCTAGGTTGTGGTTTAGTTGAAAATCAACAAAATGGGTGAAAAGTAAAGGCAGACTATGGATGAAAAAGATAAGTTTTGTTGAATATTTTGTGGTTTAATAATTCTTATTTATGTTGTTGTATACATCGCATATAGTGACAAAGAGGGCAGAGCTTATTGCTTGGACATCTAATGAATTTTGAACTGGTCCGTTGTCTGATATTTAAGTTGAACGCACAAGTTGGTAGTGTCACGGTTAGATGTTGAATCCCTAGATAAGATGACATGCGGGATTTGCTGAAATCCTGATGTCAGCAAGTTTGAAGTAAAAATTATCCTTTTTAGATGCTTTAAAACATGATGTACTCATTTTTGACCTATGTAGAACACTTTGGGCTTGTTTCAATTTCAGGTTGGCAAATATTCTTACAGTTAGTTTCCTTTCTCTCATGTTACTTCTTACTGGTTTAATGCAGTTATTTTAGGTGTTTTTTATCATTAAATTGCATGGGTAATATTATTTATTTATTTATTTTCCATACTTTCTCTAGCACCCACCCTATGACTTTATTTCTGAAGATTTTGTGAATTAACCATGACAACAGAGGAGGTGGTGTCAATTTGGATGGTTTACCATCTGAAAGAAGTATAAGAAGCCCAAAAGCGTGATATATTATGAATGTTGTTTATGTGGTTTTGGATGATTGTTTTCCCTATTCATTGCATACTTCTTATTTGAATAAGTTGTGATGGTTTTAACTTAGTTCAGATGAATTTAA